GCCAGCAATCAACACCCAGATAAGCAGGGATTAACACCAGACAAACAATCAAGCAGTAAACAACAGCCTAATCAAGGAACTACCAAGGAGGAAACCACACCCCACCAACACTGGCAGGGCAAGCTACTGTATATAAGCAGGGAGCAAACCCCACTCCCTTCTCGCACTGAAGATGTTACCTAGTTGGGTAATGAAACATCTGCAAGAACACCACCAAGCTCAGAGAGCACCAAGGACTCCACAGTTCAACCCTGAACTAAATTTATTCTCTTCCATTGGTGACTTCAACTTCCAGGATTGTCTAACCAGCCTCCTTGGCAACTTTAAGATGTGCGGACTTGCTGAGTTGCTGAGGTTGAGAAACACGGTTTTAACGAGCTAATTCAAGTTTACTAAGAACTGTTTCTCTTCACTTGTATTACTGCTCGCAACTGCCAGTGCCAGTTTGAAGGAAAAAAATGGAGGGCAATGCAATAAGTAACTCAAATGTATGTGGCTTCCTTCAGCTATGCAATGGCATTTAGGCTCAGCTTATCCCTCTGCTTTAAGCCACACACAACCCTCCCAGCAAAGTCACTTTTTTGCATGAGAAAATGTGAATTTCTCAGCAACCATGTGCTGCCTTACTCCCAGAGGAGGCCCCATCCAGGAAGAAGGAGAGAAGGACCACCTGCCTCCTTGCTCTGCACAGCCATGCACAGATCTCCCAGCCCCAGGCATGGGGTGTAGGGGTGAAGGTGCTAGACTGGGTCTAGCACGACCAGGTTCAAGTCCACCTTCAGCCACAGAAGCTCATGAGAGATCTTTGAACATCTGAAAGGGGTTGTTTTTGGGGGGGAAATAGAAGGAGGGAGCTCCTGAATGAAAAGCAGGATGTAACCCTGATCAGTCAACATTGCCATCCATTTCTATTCCACTTGCTTCCAAACTGTTTGGAAAGTAAAGCTTTAACTCACCAGGAAACTGCATAACAGCCCTTGGGTACCCTGCATGACAGTCCTACCTCATCCCCCGAGCATGGGAACACTGTTTGAAGGAGAGATGGAACTGAAGAGTTGATAAGAGCATCAGACTCTGTCCAAAGGCATTGGCAAGACAGAAACTTCAAACATTTGCAACCTCAGAAACACAATCTATTTCTTAAAAGAAGAGCTCAATTGAAGGGGAAAAAAAAGTGGACTGTGAACTTAGTTCCTACCTTCTATTTTTAGAGAAGGAATCCTTTTCTTAAAATAATTGCTCAATGAGAAAAAAAGAGAGATTGTGAACTTAGCTCCTACCTTCTGTTTTTGGGGAGACACATTACTATCTGATCACAGATATGGAAAAATCCTGAATTTCTGAATTATCTTTTTTTTAAATGAAGCTGCAAACATGTTTTACAGAAGGTATTTCTTCGCTTGAGAAAACACTGGAAATTTCCTTCCTTAAAAAAAGAAAAAAAACCTGAGCCTGTCTACTGCTGCTCATTCGCTGACTTTCCTTCCCAGATGAAAAGCCGGAAAAGCGACCCGGTCCTCAAGCGGGAAGCGTATGGCTTCACCCTCTTCTGGGGCCTGGGGGCAGATAAGGATTTTCTAGAGCACGTTGTCGGCATTCACACAAAACAGCCGCCACCCCCCTGACTATTCACAAAATGTTTCTCATCGAGGGCAGCATCCATTTACCGGAAGACCAAAGTGTGAGGTTACTTTTGCAACTCCTTCCATTTGCTGGAACTCTGGCACCCTCCCAGACAAAACCCTGATCTGCTGCTCTCCAGCGTTATGTGCTAAAGATGCCCCAAGGGCCTAGCTATTTGGGGTCCGGAAGCATCCTCAGAAACAAAGCTAATTCAGGTGCCTTGGTTGCCACCATGCACAGGTCCCTCTTTTTTAAGTCAAAGGAATCAAGAATAAAATGGAAGTCAGATGGGACAGATCTTCTAAAGGGCACTGGCGAAGGTGTTCCTGGCCCCAAGGGAGACTCAACAAGGACTCGACGCTTTCTTTAAAAGCTGGGTCTCCGGACTACAGGACTCATGGGAGGGAGGGAGGGTGTATTCGAATGATTCCCCTCTTGCAAAGACCGCTGGGGATGGCCTCTTCCCTTTGCACCTTGGACCCCTGAAGCAAATGGCAAGAACCAAATGAGGGGAAGGGTCTGGACCCACTACCCCTGGATCTGTTTCTCACCTACTGGTAATTCCCTGTGCTTAAGAGTCAAGATCTCTCTCTCTCTCTCTCTTTCTTTCTTTCTTGCTTCTCTTCGACATGTAGCTTAGGTGGAAGTGAGGCTTTTCTATCCTCGTGTATTTCTATTAAAGCCGGCTTTTATTTCAAATAAAGCATGTTTGCTAGCTTTCCCTGATAGCTGGGCTGGTCCATACTTTGCATCCAAGGCAATGGTATCATGAAAGTGTCTTATATGGGAATTTCACTACTTAATTACTCAGTATTTTTTCTGCCCTGCGCTCACGCTCAGGAGGCTAGGCTGTCACAAGGGCTCCTGCTGAATTCAGATCTCCAACAGATGCCCACAGCTGGACTGATATTTACAAGTGTAAATGCGGGCCAGGATGCTGGATAGAGCCTTCTTGGATTGCCATCAGCATCTGGAGAAAGTAGCCAGCTTGCTTGCTGGTGGCTTGATAGGAGCAAAATATACATTGCTTCTCAACGACCCTGCAGTTCTGCACAGAGCCCAAAATACGTTGTCCTTTCTTGCTTTCTTTTCTTCTGAGCCATTTAGAAAATTTCCCAATCATGGAGATTCTTAACCTGAGTCAACATTCCCTGTTTTTTTTTTTTTAATTAAAAAGAGATGTTTTTCAGGTATAGTGAATCATCAGAGCTGGAACACTGTCAAAAACAACGAAAAGAGACCTTTCACATTTGGCTGTTAATTTAATGGCCCTTTCCAAAAGGTTTCAAATTGCATAACATTTTATTCTAGTAAGCTTTTTCTGTACAGCTGCCCAGGGTCTTAATCAGATATGCTAAATTCTTAAACTTTGTACAGCCATAACTGAAGTAGAGGTGATGAAGTTTTTACAGGCACATTTTGCAGCGGGCCCACGCCCAACTCATGTCATTGCTGTAGCAAGGACAAAACCTTCCATGTTGCTAAAGGCTACTCATACCCTGTCGCTTGCCCTCAAGCCGCTGTTTGCAGTAAACACTATTTTCAGGCTCTGCATTTAAAGCTTTTGTGGGGAAAACAGGGCGGTGAACAGGCAGCCCCTGCTCTGGATCCAAGCCCTGTGCAGTTTCTCCAAGAAGAAGGTGGCCGGAACAATGTCCGCTTTGAGGAACATGGGCTTAAAGCTCAGCTCGAGAGTCTGAGCGCCCAGGAACAGAGGAGAACAGATGAGGAAGGAGCTGATCTGGAGACATCTTTACAGCCACCCAGAGATCAGGAGGAGCCAGGCTAAGAAATAAATCCTGTTAAAGCAATGTTAACCCTTTTTATCCCTTAGAGTAAACAGCTGTCCTTTATCTTGGTTTCAGTAAATCAGTCACTGTATGGGAAGGAAGGAGGGTGTGGCGTGATCCCAAATCTGGTACGCGCTAGGATTTTTATTATCAGGGCTTAGATAAATGGGGGGAGAGATGTTGATTATCAGCTTTTCAGAAGAGGGAGAATTGGGGGAGGTATGAAGCACCAGCTAGAAAGAAAGTTCAGATTGCCCCTAATAGAATGGGTGGAGAGAGAAATGTAAAACTCAGGATCTAGCCTCTAAATCAGTGTTTCTCAACCTTGGCCACTTTAAGAGGTGTGGACTTCAACTCCCAGAATTCCCC